AGGGCCTAGTGCCGAGCCCTCAGAAGTGGCGGCGGCGGCGTCGCTCCTGAAGCCCAGAGAAGACATCTTAGGAGCGAAGCGGTGGTGGGGAAGGCCCCATCTCGCGCCTCAGGAGTCCAGGGCTCGGGGAACACTGGGCGGGTAGGCTGAGCTCGCTGCGGTACGTCACGAGAAGGGCGGAGAAGGAAGTCGAGCGCTGCAGCGGGAGCTCTGCCGGGGAACCAAGTCTTGGTGTCGTTCCGACAGCGTCGTCCGGCGTCTCCCGATCGGAAAAGGAGTGGAGTTCAGCAGCCTTTAGAAGCGATGGCGGTGAAAAAGAAAACGACCGTTTCGCTTTCCTTGCCCTTCTTTGGTACTTAATTTGCGAAAGCAAACCCCCACGCCACACAAAAAAACCAGCACCCGTTCTGCACAGTTAAAAGTTAGAAACACCATTTAGTTAGTATGCACTTCATGGGGTCTTAAAATCGGACGTCTTTGGATTTCCTCGTTTTGCACGGAAAGCTATTAGGAAGTCTGGGAGAGGGTTAAAGACGAACACACAGAGAGAGACAAGGAAGCACACAAGATGCCGGAATATCAACTCAACTTAAAGCAAGACAGACTTGCTTTCGAAGTATAGTAGCTCGTTTCTTGAAGATGTTTTTAAAGCCCAACTGTATTATTTGAATTTCAATGAAAAAGGAAACACCCATGGCCCGTACGGGGATCGAACCCGCGACCTTGGCGTTATTAGCACCACGCTCTAACCAACTGAGCTAACCGGCCATCTTGTTAAAAGGGTCTACTTTACCTTCTTTCTGTTCTGTTCTGATTTCTAAATCTTGACAACAAGGTGGTATGGTATGTATATGAAAAACTACTTTTAAAATTCTTCTCTTTTAATTTTCCGTTGTATAACTCAGCACTTCGCATCTATATCTTATGTGACTTCTTTGTTAGACTACAAATCCCAGACCAGAGCAAAGGAAAAAGTACATACAGTAGCAGATTCTTTCGCAAGTGCTAGAAAAGTCCATAGCTAATTTTTTCACAAATGGGTTTTTTTTTTGCAGCAACACACAACTTCAAAGTTTGAATTTTCCAAATTCCATTTACACATTTTTTCAATATGTGCAGCATATGAAGCAAAGAGAATCAATAACCCAATACATTAAGGTTAATATCCCTTCAGTCCTGGTTCTACAATGAAATAACCTATTACTAGTATCATAAAGTTAATGCTAGTAATAATTAGTGTTATTTCATCTGATAAATATATAAAACCCACTCTGTTATTTCAGTCCTGCTACTGAATTTCAATAAGCAATAAGCACATTTACTTATTACTAAATCTCAAGGAATACTTTGAGATTTCTTTCAGTCTGTCCTGGTTTATAATGTCAGTTCGATGATCTCCTTGACCTACAACCATTCTTTGTGAGCTACAACCCCCTGCCAGTAAAAAGTGACTTAGGACCGTTCATCAGACTTATGACCATTGCAGCATTCCCAGTCATATGATCAAAATTTGGATACCCGGCAGCCAGTATATATGGCAGCCATAAATAGATGGTTGCAGCGTCCCGGGGATCACATGATCAACATTTGTGACCATTCCAGTCAGTTTCCAACATCCAAAGTCAATGGGNGATTGATGGATAGATGGATATGATAGTTGACAGGTGGATGGTAGATATAGACAGGCAGACAGATAGATAGATAGGTAGAGACAGGGGAGAGTTTTCTAGTCCTCACTTTGGAAATTCTATTTATACCAAAGCAACTGATAGCTCCTCCACATGTTCCTTATGGTCCTTTTCACATTCCATATGCCTTCTTATATTCAGGGCAAGATACTACTTTGGGCTTATAACAGAAACATAAAGAGCCAGCTCAAAGGTATAAAATGAATTTCAATTTAATAACTATTATCCTCCAATTCAGCCTGTACTTTACTAAAACCAGACAGAAAATATAATCTTTCTCATTTCAGTGTATCTTACATTTTATGGAAAGCCTTCAGTGGAATATCTACCAACTAACCATTCCTCCATTTGTAAGAGTCCCCTACTCCAGCATCTTAAGTAAACATAGAGCATATGAAAATCCCCCCTTTCAGCATTTATTTGCTGAAAACAGAAAAAAAAATACAGAAAAGAATAAATATTTTAATTTTTAATATTTCAGTCTACATAGAGTATTATTTCTCCAATGTTTATTTTTTTCTAGATTTAGCTTCCTGACATTTTTTACTACTGAAGCAACATTAAAATAGGACATATTAATGTCCACACAGAAGATTTCTCTTTCCTTTACACGTTATAATGTAGTGTTTTCTGATTTTATATTCAGTGTTTGCATATATTATCTCCTTTATTCTTTTGTTTCATCAAATCTTTTAAAAATTAGAATATGCTGAACGGAAATGCATTCATCCTCTCTCCCCCCTTCTCTGTGTGTGTGTGTTTGTGTGTGTTTGTGCATGGTGTGTTTTGTAGGAAGATCTGCCAAAGGAACTCGAGTGTTTAAAGCATCTTTCTAACAAGTCAATGACAAAATTGGATGTAGGAGTATTATTTTCTATTATAAAAATCTGACAGGAAAATAATACTGTTTGAAAACAGATGTCTGTAATACCTGGTATTAATATATAAAACATAGCATGGGGGTCCTTAAATCTCACCTTCTTTCTCCTTTTTATGACATAACTGTACAAAATTAAATGATGGTGTCTGATCAAGTATTCCAGGCCAACAGCTGCTTGCCATTCCAAGCATCTTTAATCAATAAGATCTTAGCACAGAAACATATCCAAAGGTATAGAATGTAGTTTTAATATTATCAGCTTATAAGGAAATGTAATGGTTTAATATGTCAAGGTAACATATTTTTTATAAGAGAGGGTTTTTTTATAAGTGGGTTTGATTTTCATCAGCAAAGTGTTCAGCCTTGTCATGATTGAATATTTTAATACAATATGTTGTTGCATTACATTGCTTGTTTTCTATTACTGATGAGTAGCAAAGATACTGTCACCCAAGAAAATTGCCTGGGAGGGGACAAAAGAAGACAAGTATGCAGGGAAAACACCAATTCATGAAAAAGATCTGGCCCCAAATGGTTTGTAAAAGGGATATGGCAGGAGAGGAAAAAAGCTCAGGGCTGCTACTCAACTCTTTATATCTCATTGAGTGATTTTAGTTACTATAACTAAAAAAAACAGAGTTTTTATGCTGCTTCCAACCAATAAAGTACAAGTGCAAATTCAAAAAAAAAAAGTTATCCAATTTATGTTATACTAAAATTATCTCTTTTCTTCCACGAATAAAAGCAAATAGGCCAGGATCATGTTCCGGGATCCAATCAGGGTCAGTCACCAGGACCAGAGGTTTAGTCTTCCAAGTTTTCAGACATGTGCAGGAGCCCATATTCAAGGAACTTTTCTCTACCAAAATGTAGATGTAGTAGATATGGACATTTTGGCAGGGAGAAAAATCTCTGAAGAAGGACTCTAGCATGAGTCTGAAAGCTCAGAAAGCTAAACCTGTGGTCCTGGTGACCAATCCAGATTGGAGCTATTTTCTTCCTTTTGTATTCAGAATAATCAGCACATTTAAAATAATACATTGTTATGTAATCCAGCATGCTTGAATTATCTTTCCATAATGAAAGTTTCATTTGTTTAGCTTTAAACTGACCACTGTGGGGTTCCACAAGGCTGAAGACCCCCACTACTCCTCTTCAATATCTACAGGAAGCCATGGGTGAAGTCATCAGATGGCATGGGATCAGGTATCACTATATGCTGACAATACCCAATTGTATATCTTAGCTATACCAGAAGGTGAAGTTGGATCAGCAGCAGAGGTGGGTTCCTGCCAGTTCACACCAGTTCGGTAGAACCGGTTCGTCAAATCTACTGAACCGGTTAGAAGAGGTTCTACCAATGGACTCGGAAAGCAGGCGACACCTCCAGAAGAGTTTCCAAAAATTTTTGAAACCCCCCACTGACACACACACACACACACACACAGACAGACAGACAGACAGACAGACANACCTACCCAGATAGTCATTAGGGCAGAGAACCGGTTGTTGGAAGAAATCTCCTTTTGTTTTTTTCCACTTTACAGGGCTAATCCTGTAAGGAAGGCAGGAAGGAAACATTTTAGTGTTGTTTCTAGCCTCATCTTGATTGCCCTGCTTACAGAAATTGTCTCTCCGGTTAACCCTTAGTACATTGTAACAGCGAAGGCGAACCGTCTGTCAACCTGAGGGACCTTGAGTTGGCCACGCCCACCCAGTCACATGACCACCGAGCCCCACCTACCCAGATAGTCATTAGGGCAGAGAACCGGTTGTTAAATTATTTGAAACCCACCACTGGAGTGACCGTAACAAAGTTGGAGAGTATTGATATTAAAAAAAGTAAATTTAGAAAAGGGAAACCGAAACTCAACTGACCAGACCAGGAGATATTTTGGAATAATTATTTTTAAAGTAAAGAGGCATTTGATTCTTTTCCCCCCACTCAATATCTCCGAAATGTCCATTTGGATTTCTGGATAACCTATATAATACCCATGATGGCGAACCTTTTCGGCACCAAGTACTGAAAAGGGAGCGCATGCGTGTGGAGCACAAAGTCTCAAAAAGGGAACCGTTGCAAGCATGTGCACATGCTCATCTGCGCCGCAACCAGGAAGAGGAGCTTCCCAGGGGGCTTTACTGCCACGCACGCGCTGATCGGCCGGCTCTTTTGGTTTCCAGCACTGGCACAGGCACAAAGGCCAGCTGATCGTTGCGCATGCATGCGCGGCAGTAATCCTGAAGAGGAATGGGCAATGCAGCACGTGCCAGGCAACATGGCTCTGCGTGCCACTTTGGGCACGTGTATTATAGGTTCGCCATCATGGCTATATACCATTAATAAAACACACAATTATTTAAATGCATTTTAACTAATCAATCAGCTGCTAGAGTTAATTGATAGCACCATAATTCTTCACAAGGGAACTCATGATCTGCTGTGGTGACTTCGCAGTGCAAATATGTGGGATTACCATGCTGGGCAGGACTCTCTTTGCATACTGGATCCAACCTGTGTAACCCAGCAGCAGAATTCCTAAAATTCGGCACGTCTTAATTTTATGCAACCAGAGAGGTGTTGAAAAAGCAAACCAGCCAAATCTGAATAAGTTTGCAGAAGTGTGCTTGCTGGTTGTTGTTGTTGTTTGTTTTAATTGCTAGGGTCTTCCCTGACTAAAATGATCTTTCCTTTTATTGTGACAATTCCTGTCTTCATTCAAGGAGACTGCTGAGTCCGTTTCCATCTTAGGGTGTTTCTCCTGGAGCGCCTTTCCTTAATCACCGCCGACGCGAGACCATGTTGGGTAAAAGAGAGCAAGGAGGAAGTAATTTGCCCGGCGTAACGTGGTTCTTTTTTTAAAGCCAGTGAGAATAGTTTTTCCTCTTGGAAAACTCAGGCATTTCCTTAATTTCCTCTCTTGGAGCTTTGTCTGGGTGGGGATTTCAGAAAAAGGTGTTAGTAAGCACGGGGCAGGCTGACCCAACACACAGCCAAACGCAGAGCGTTCCTAGTTAATGGCAGGGGGGGGGGCATGAGGACAGGAGGAATCTGGGACAAAGTTCTCTCCCACCTACCCACCCACCTCCAAAGAAATCAATTCTGCAGACAGAACATGCGGCCTACTTCCCACACCAACAGCAAGGCTTGCTGCTCTTTTTGAGTTAAAGAACTCCTCGACTTGCAGCCGAAATTTCTGTTGCTAAGTGAGACGCTTGTTGAGTGAGCTTTGCTTCATTTTCCTTTCATGCCACAGTTGTTAAGTGAATCGCTGCAGTTGTTAAGTTAGTAACATAGTTGTTAAGTGAATCTGGCTTCCCCACTGACTTTACTTGTCAGAATGTGAGTAGAATAGAATTAGAATGGAATGGAATGGAATAGAATAGAATAGAATAGAATACGTGGAGCGGAGCAGAAGGAACGGAACAGCAACAGGAACAGGAACAGGAACAGGAACAGGAACAGG